GGCAGCTTCGCAGCCCAGTGCTTAACCACTGTGCCACCAAGGGAAGCCCCACTTCACTCCTTTTTAAGGCCAAATAATCTGCCATTATGCAATCATGATATTTGGTTCATCCATCCATTGATAGGCATTCTTTCCTCATGTTCTGGCTACTATGAGTAATGCTGATAGAAACATTTGTATATAAGTACTTTTGTGTGGCTATCTGCTTTCAGTTATCTTGGGCATATAGTCAGGAATGGATTCGATAGATTCTGTTCTATGGCAGCAATTTTATGTTTAAACTTTTTGAAGAAAATTCAAACTGTTTTTTAAATTGTACAGCTTTACTTTGCCACCAGCAATATATGAGGATTTTAAGATCTCTACACCAACATTTGTTACTATCTGTCATTTTTATTATAGCCTTCTAGCATTAATTTTTTTAAATAGAATTTGTGGAATTTCAAATACCAGTACCCTGAGAGATGAATTTGTAAGAAACTATGTTAATTAACATACGTATATTCTTTACTTGAGGAGGAAACATCTAAAAAGATGGGCTTTTGACAATAGGTTTTTAATATATGTAGACAACCAAAGATTTATATAATTGTGTTTTGAAATATATTTTAGACATAAATCATCTTAGCATTAAAAGTTATACAATTTATTCAAAAGAACACAAATTAACATTTCATTTATTTTTATCAAATTGTACGTACTGAAAAATGTTTTATTTTTCACATGTATACACTGATGTGTTCTATCAGATGTCTCCCTAAGTAGGCTGAGTCTTTTATAAAGGAAATATTTCTATTTTACATGTTTTTAAAGGTTAGGATGTATCTGAGATTTTATCCTACTTTCTCGTAACAAACAAGCTCCACAGTTTCATGGAACTGACAGAAGACATAAATTTCCTCAGTCAGAGACAACTGACTTTATTATTCACCACAACAGAGAGACAATCAGCATTTTCTTGTACCGGTTTCCTAACCCCCAATTCATTCAAGGAGCCATGAAGAATGGCAATGGACATTGGCAATAGATCTCATCGTTTGTGTTGTATCATAGGAGAATAACCTTAGATGTGAAGGGCTGTTTCTGTGTTCCATGATTGTTTATAAACTCACTTGAAATGATAGCCCAGGACAAAGGCAGTCTAGACCCTCTACTTTAGATACAAAGAAGTATAAGAGACCCACAGTCTCTGCACAGTAGTGCAGAGAGTGCCTCTCAAATTATTTTACATCTAACATGCTATCACTAGTTTCTAAGTTACTTTGTTTTTGCCATGCTGTAGATTTCAGCAAGATGAATTCGTGACAGAAATGTATATAAGTTTTTGTAATTAGACCAACTACTTCCCTTCAATAATGATTTGGCCACGATCTTCAGCCTTTCCTGATCATTGCCAAGAGGAAATCAAGTTATCCTCATTAAAGTAATATATAATGGGCAGTCACTTTGTTGAGTATGAGATTATAAACTGAAATAAATAATATGAAATCCAACAAGCTAATTTTAATTTATTGAAACAAACTGGGGTGCTTACACAAAGCTTCTGTCAACTCCAACCCTGACATTTTTACACTTGTTTTATATTTATTTAAGAATACCATGGGTATTCTCCCCAAAGTGCAGAGGAACCATCAATACCTTGCTCAAACTGCTGTAATTCTGTCTGTGCTAACCACCTCCCCACTGATCTATAAACAGCTGATGGGAAACTATAATCCATAGAGTGGTTATTTTCTTTCCCCTCTAACTGAACTGTTGTCAAACTGTGATTCCCCTCTCCTATACTTAGGGGATTGATTTTTTGTAGCCTAAATTCTGGAAGTCACAAATCTCAGTCCTCATTTGTTTCCTGTGTTTCATACATTGCCCTTAAGAGTACTGTACAACCTATCTCTAAATTTCAGTGTCTTACATCTTTTTTAATAATTCTTTCATTCATAGTAAGGTTTGCATATCTTTGTACAACTAACTTTGAATATAGTTCAATAGTTCATCTTATATTTAACACTCTTATTCAAAATAACTGAAATCAACATTTCTGTTTTAATTCCATGTATCTAACAATTATATATTTTAATATTATTGATATTACTGTTATTATTTAAGAAGAAAAAAGAGTCAAAGAATAAAAGAGAGAAAATGTAGAAAAGGACTTACGATGCTTGTATTTACTGAGCCAGTTTTGTCTTCTATGATACCTATATGTACCTCTAAATACTTACACATCACACATTTAAATAAATATAAGGAATTTTCTGAAGATGAATAATGGCTTCATCAGAATATAATTTCTTGAATTTTCTAATTTTCTTGTTTTGAAAATTCAAATTTTTTTTTTGTTGTTGGTTCCGCTGAATGTCTACAGCCTCTTCTTTCTTAGTGGAATTGTTTCCCATAGAATAGTCAATACATTTTAAAGAAATCTTTGTAGCTAATGAGCCATTTTCTCTTTTAGAGAAAGAGAATTGATTTTATTTTCCCCTGAACTTTAAGAAATCTGTTTTTTTTTTTTTTTAACCTGTATCAGACATGTTGGGAAGACGGTATCCTGAGCCTTGTGTTCATTACTACCTCTGCTTCCCAATTCCTTGCTGGTATAACCACACAGGAGGGAAGGCACAGGTTATAAAAAGTCTATTAAAGTCCTTGAAAGAAAATGTGAAAAACTGACTTTTATAGAGCCATTCTTAAAATGGAACTGGAGAGTCATTACAGAGAAACTGCATTAACTGTCTCCTTTGAACTGGGTCAAGACCTATGGACTGGGTCAAAAGCAATTGTTTTAAGAAACCGTCAGGCAAATAATTGTTTGAGAAGCCATCTGGATCACAAGAACTGATGATTATGGACTTTTTTTTGTCAGAGAATAAGACCAATTATGGTTACTAAGAATAGTCCAGCTTATTAATACTAATGAATTCTTTTCTTTTACCATTTACCTAATCTTTTTTTTTTTTTTTTCCCCTCATAAAAGCCCAATGCCTTTGTCTCTCATCAGGCCACATTTTTAGGTTTTCTACCTGAATCAAATCAAGATTGGGATCAAATTACAATTTCTTGATTCCAAATATATGTGTTCTGCCGTTCTAATTGCAAATTAAATTTAAAGCCAATTTGTTTATTCTATGAGAGAAGAAAATAAAAACCCAGAGCCACGAATGGTATCTGTCTTTTGGATTATCCTGAATCAAAGTAGGTGATTTTACAATTTGAGGAGCGTTCCCAGGTAAATGGATCCCTTCAGCACCCCAAGAGGAATATAACTTGCCTACTTCTTCTTGCATCTGGGTAAAAGCCACAGAACTTTAACATTTCATACCAGAGTCTGAAAAATACATTGAACACCTTTGTCCCATGTACTCTGAAAAGTTATAAATAATGTCCACTGAAGGGAAAAAAATATTTTATAGCCATTCTGTATAATACTTTTATAGCAATTCTATATAATGCTTTACAGTCATTCTATATACTCTATAACACTTATAAGGAGAAATTAAGCTTGCTTTATTCTATATACTCTTAACAACTCTAAAAAAAATAAGAATTGTTTCTTAACTTTGAAATATGTTCATTATATACTCTTGAATCAAAAATAATGATTCTTAAAAAGAATTTAATTTTAGAATGAAATATACATATACACATATAAGTGTATACACACACATATGAGTATGTATATATAAAAGAGGAAAATAATCAAGAAAATTAAACCTTAAATTTTTTCAGAGATATTGTCTGGGGTAGGTGGTGGTATACATTTCATTCACCATTACTTGCATACCTTTAATTCTTACATTAAAAATTCTTATTTCTGTGCTTACCATATTTTATATATTGACATAAAGGACTCTGAACTCAGTAAGCTTTATCCTTTTTTTTTTTTTTAAGATTTATTTATCCATGCATACAAGAGCTGGGGTATAGGCCAGAGATGCGGGGGGGTGAAAGGATTCAATAGAGACAGAGTGGGGAACAGAACAGGCCGACTGAGTGAAATTCACTGCTCAGGGGAGTAGCAGGCAAGACAGGAGAGGTCTGCTGCACCATGTGGGTTCCTCTCTGGCCTGCGGATTGCTTCATAGTGCAATGCTTAACCCCTTGCGCCACCAGGGCGACCCAGTGAGCTTTATCCTTAATTCCCTACTAACATAACAATTACTGGTAACAATTTCTATATTGCTTTTTTTCTTTTTTAAAAGATTTATTTATTTATACAAGAACCAGGATACAGGCCAGATGCGCGGGAGGGTGAGAGGATTCACCAGAGACAGAGTGGGGGACAGAACAGGCAGACTGATGAAATACACTGCTGAGGGGAGCAGCTGGTGAGACAGGAGAGGTCTGCTGTGCCATGTGGGACCCTCGCTGGCTGGCCAGGATCGAACCGGCGCTGCAGAGGCTGCGGACAGCTTCACAGCGCTGCGCTCAACTGCCTGTGCCACCAGGGGAGGCCCCCCTTTTTTTAAAGATTTATTTTTATTTATGCATATAAGAACTGGGTGCGGAGGCCAGAGGTGCGGAGAGTGAGAAGATTCCAGAGACAGAGTGGGGAACAGAAAAGGCAGATTGACTGAAGTACACTGCTGAGGGGAGCAGTGGGTGAGACAGGAGAGGTCTGCTGCACCATATGGGTAGCTCCCTGGCTGGGGATCGAACTTATGCTGCCGTGTTGCGGACAGCTTCATAGGTTGCGTCTTAACCCCTTGTGCCACCAGGGAGGCCCCTATATTGCTTTCTACATCATTCTGTGTCTACTGTTCAATCTTAAAACTTATTTATTTTATTTATTTAACTGATGTAATATTGGGGTACCACATCAGGTATTACCACCATAGCGTATCCTCACTGACTCACCCATACTCCACCACCACAGAGCATCATGCCTACCTCCCTCCCTTTTCTTTCCACGCCCCTCCTCCCCTATTGGTATCTCAGTTCTTTAGTCAGCTATCAAGGGTTTGTTTTTCAGCTTGTCTTTATCTGACTATTAATTTAATTACTTTAAATTCCACATATTGGTAGCATTATCAGTTACTTATCTTTCTCCTATGATTTAGAATTCAATTGAAGGCTTTTGGATTTAGCTTTGACAAATATTCTTCCTGGTGTTTTGTAGGAAACATTTTTCTCTTCCCTGATCTTTGTGTGACCTCACAGAATGTGATTCTGACAAAGAAAGCATGCCCTTTGACCTGGCTGGAAAGTCAGGATTGCCCTTCACTTATCTTTCTCTTTTCGAAAGGTTTACCTTTGAGTGTCAGCCCTACTTATAACATTCTAGAATTGCATTCTCAAGGCAAAATAAAATATTTTTCACACTCATTTACACAATTGTAAATATATGTTTCATTTGATAATTTTGCTCCCCTCTTCAGCATCTGGGCCTCTCTATTGCAAAACAAAGCAAATTAATTAGGGTAGAAAAATAAATCCGTAATTGACTTATTTTAAGGGAAGGTTTGAAGGTTTGAACTTTGCTTATACTAACAGCACACACAAAGAAGAGGTTGGGGAGATTATAAATGGAAATTTTGTGCGTCTAGCGTTTATTTCTTCTTGGATCTAAATATTGACTCTGCCAAATGTAGTGTTTGCCAGTAATTAGAGAGTATTTTTAAAAAAATAAATAGAAACAAATCCAATTCAATATTATCCCGAATTCAATGTAAAAATACCTTATATAGCCTGATAAAATTTCATCTAACACATTACTTTTAATCCCTATAATTTATATTTTTAAGTTTCTGTACCATGGTTAAAATGTTGCTTACTCTAATTAGCTTATGGTCAACAGTATCATTAATTAGAAATATTGGTAATATGTCCCTTGTAGCATTTCAGTTAGTGTGTTTAAGGTTCCAGGATGAGATCCTAATGAACAAGGTGATAAAAACTACCATTAAGCAGAAATGAAATAGAATACCCATCAGGGCAAACAATTGTGATTTTTTGTTTGTTTGTTTTTAATCAAAGAATGATCTGTATTTAGAATACAGCATTATACTACCCATAAGTTGAGCCTCCCCGGTGGTCTAAAGGTTAAGTCTCACCACTATCACCACTGTTGCCCGAGTTCAATCCCTGGCCAGGGAGCTAACCCACTTATTGTGGAGCAGACCTCTCCTGTCTAGCCCACTGCTTGCCTAGCCGTGTATTTCAGTAAATCCATCTGTTCTTCTCCCCACTCTGTCTCTGGTGAATTCTCTGATGTCCCCCCCCCCCTGCCACCTCTGGCCTATACCCAAGTTCTTCTATGCAAAAATAAATTTAAAAACTATCATGATTTGAGAAGTATATCTTTGAAGCTCTATAATGAGCTGATATTGTGATTTGGTTCTAACAATTAGAGGTAGTGTCTAAAATGAGGGACACTGAGTTGTCCTAATTTTTAGCAGTATTAGTCTTTTTAGTAGTATTAGTCTTCTAGAAACTAGGGAATATTTGCTCTTAAGCACAAGTGGCACCTTGTATATATTGGACAAATCTTCCTCTAGTATTTTAATTTTACCTTTTATAGTATTTTCCTACTCTATTTATAGTTCTGATTTTATATTTTGCTTTACTGTAAGATAACTAACACAGAATGCATATTACAGATTCAAAAGCAAAACAATCCCAGATTATATAAAGATGCCAAAATATTAATCTGTTGGGAATGATTTGAGGTTGGTAGAGAACCAATCCATGAGTATAAAATTGGGTAAATAAGAATATGTTTAAGGCCTCCCCTGGTGGCGCAGCGGTTGAGCGTTGGGCTGCTGTCCGCAGCCTCTGCAGCACCGGCTCGATCCCTGGCCACTGGCGAGGGTCCCACATGGCGCGCAGACCTCTCCTGCCTCCTGCTGCTCCCCTCAGCAGTGTACTTCGTCACTCTGTTTTGCTCTCCGCTCTGGCTCTGGTAAATTCTCTTACCCTCCAGCACTTCTGACTGTACCCAGTGCTTGTATGAATAAATAAATATTTTTTTTTAAAATTTAAAAAAAGAATATGTTTAAACTCACTTGCTTATAAACAATTGAGAAAATTTCTATTTATAGAAGTGTTCTAGCTAATACCTGAAACAAAGATTGATAGAATTAAAATGACATGACTTTGTAATTCCCTAATGAAGTAATGAATCTCGGCAATAAGCAACAAGGGATGTTAATAATATAGAATGAGGAAGGGAGAAGGAGAGAAACAAGTATCATGTGCCTCTTGATGGAAGGACACAATACACCTATGAGGCCTTCTCTGAAAAATCTAAATTTAATTAGATCAAGATGCTAGACTTAACTGTCAGCTTAAAGTGAACACAGAGGTCAGGTGAATATTTTAAAAGATACCGTGAAGATGAAAGCAGAAACATCCAGTTTCTTAAAAATCAATCCTGAGAAAGGTGGGACTATAGATTAAAAAAAGACAAAAGACTCCCAGTCAAATGTCCTATGTACCTATCTGACTTCCATCATTCTCATTCAATGAAATTAACAATGAGACAAAACAAGGATATCTGTTTTGTTTTGTTTTAAAGATTTATTTATTTTTATACAAGAGCTGGGAAACAGGGCAGAGGTGTGGGAGGGTGAGAGGATTCACCAGAGACAGAGCGGGGAAAAGAACAGGCAGAATGACGAAATGCACTGCTGAGGAGAGCAGTGGGCGAGGCAGGAGAGGTCTGCCGCACCATGTGGGAATCTCCCTGGCTGGCTGGAAATCGAACCCTCACTGCAGAGGCTGTGGATATCTTCACAGCACTGCACTCAACTGCTGTGCCACCAGGGAGGCCCTGTTTTTTTTTTAAGATTTATTTATTTATGAATACAAGATCTGGGGTTTAGACCAGAGGTGTGGGGTGGGGGTGAGAAGATTCACTAGAGTGGGGAACAGAACAGTCAAGTGTACTGAAATACACTGCTGAGGGGAGCAGCAGGCGAGTTAGGATAGGTCTGCTATGCCATGTGGGTAGCTCCCTGGTCGGGAGTTGAACTTGTGCTTCAGTGGCTGCAGGTATCTTCATAGGTTGCATCTTAAGCCCTTGCATCACCAGGGAGGCCCTGGTGGGGGTTCCTTGTTTGACACAGGGCTCTGTTCTAGGCCATGGTCTTTCAGTAAGCTTTTCTTTTTTTTAATTACCTGAAAGTAGTAACTCATTATTTTTTTTCCTTTTATATAATGAAAGAAAGCAACACTGCATTCCCTGCTTCTATACTGCTAATTTCCTATGGTAAATAAATTTGGTGATACCAGTGAAGTTACATGGTACCAATTTAGAAAGGATTATTATTTAGCAATAAGATCTGATTAATTCCCATTTAAACTTAGATGCATGCAATAAAAGTTCATTTTTATACAAAATGTAAGTCAAAAGTATATAGCACTATTATCTTCTGTCAACTGAAAAACCAAAAAAGCTAAAAACCTAACATATAATAGTGATGTCAAATTAATCCAGGAAACAAAGCATTTTCTCAAATTAAAGTTACTCTTCAAACTTAACAATATAACATCGCATGATAACTCTCAAATGAATGCAAAATGTCATCAGTAAAATTTTGGAGAGTTTATGATATCAGCAGAGGGCTTGGCTTCCAACTCATACAAAAGATGAAATTACTGTTATAGTAAAGTGGCATTGGAAAATATAAAAATATTTATAAATTTTAATAAAAAATAATACAGCTGGTAGTCCCACATAAAGTCACAGAGCACTCAGGCAAAAGAAAAAAGGAGCTCAGTATTTTTCAGCAATTAACAAAGTAAGTAGACAAAGAATAAGAATACCCAGTTAGTTCTAAGGGCCTTAAAGCAAGAAGCAGCCATCCACATGAAATGGGATTATGTTGAACAGGACAGTATCAACCACACTAGAAAATTCTGGTGGGACCAAAATTATTAACTTAGTGACAATTAACAGTTAATTATTGAGAAAGACCCAGAGAATAATCATTAATAGAATAAACTGCATGTTTTTTGCAATTCATAACAAATATATAAGTCGCAATGGCAGACTTTATAAAAGAAACACCAACAAAATCATTGAATTCTTGACCCACAGTAACTGTAAGATAATATTAATTTATTGTTAAAGCTACATAGAAATGAATATCCAATACACATACTAAAGCACAGTCTTTCTCTGAATCATGTTTATTCCCAAAAAACTTAATGCAAGACATTCACACAACAACCACATCATTCCATACTTACATAATACCTGCATCAAGCAGATCGTAAAAAAATATTTGTTGAAATATCCTATGTATAACAAGATACAAAATCTGCTGGATATCAGCAGTGTGCCAAGCATCTTTAAATGTTTTATATGCATGGAACCTTTTAGGTAGGTAGGTTAGGCATCTCCATTTACAGCTGAGATATTGAGAGAGGTAAAGAAAGTTGTCCAAGATGACACAATGTCTACATGGTAGACTACCCAGACTAACAGGTATTCTGACTTCCAGAATACAGTGCTTTTAGCTACTAAATTTTGCTGCTCTTGAATACTTGATTAATGAAAGACTGAATTACCTGATCTTATACAGTATTCAGAATTACATATTTAACACTTATAATTTAGTATGCTTATTTTCCCATGATATATAGCAAACACTACTTAGGAATGCCAAAGTCCTGGTCTCCAAAGAGCTTTTGTAAACGTACTATCTGTTTAAACAGATTAGACCATATCTATTTATTTATGCAAATAAGTAAATAAAAATGCTACAAGATACTACATTAATATATAATTCATATACCAGTGCTAATATAATATCATGCCATCATATAATGGAAAATAAATTGTCTACCTCCCTTCCTCCTTCTCATCTGACTACATATATATGTTGTATAACCACTGTGTTGCATTCAACTTTGGAGACTGCTGTATCATTGATTGTAGTAACATTTTTATAGTGTTAACTTAGAAAACTTACTTTATTCTCTCATCTTCTTCCCCCTCACACATAGAATCAGAGACAAATCAGGTGATTTTAAATTTAAAAAAATCATTCTATATTCAGAAGACAATAAGGAGTGTGCAAATAAGGGCTTCTATACCCATTTCTTATTTTTGCCTTCACACCCCCTCCCAAAATGCCTATATATATATTTTTTTCAAATTTAAGAGTTACTCTTTGATGTAATTTGAAAGCGTGAAA